CCCCCACTGCCCATATCCATCCAGGTCAAAAAAGGGGGGCGCCGCTGCCCCCCCCCCACTCCCGACCCGCAGCCCCCGGCCATGGCGGGCCCCCCTGTCCCCCGCGGGCGCTCAGGCCCTGCGAGCGCCTCCCCCGTCTGCCCTTCCCTCTGCTGCAGGGGCTGGCACCCCCCCGCCCTGCCCTGGTGTCCGGGATTTGGGTTTGCTGGGGGGGGCACGTGCAAGGCATCAGCCTGGGCCATCTCCCCCGCACAGAGCGACGCAGTGACGCCATGGTGTCAGCGCAGCGGCTGGCCGACCTGGGCTACAAGGCCGTCTCCTTCTCCCTGATGGCCGTTACCGTGGGGGCCAGCGTCATGTTAAGCGTCCGTGTCTACCACGTGTTCCAGCACCGCAAAGCCCAGCAGCAGGCTGGGGACAGCCCGGGGCCTGCCCGAGACTGAGTCCTGCTGCGGGATGCACCTGCCTGGCCAGGGCTCGTACCGTCTCAGGGGCTCGTTCCTTTGCAGCGATGGGGGTCTGGGCACTGCTGGGTTATGGAAGTGGCCCTGGGATGGAAACAGGAGCTTCTTGGTTGAAGGGGCTGCCTGCCCACTCTGATTATTAAAAACCATGGATTTGGGTTAACTACAACAAGCTTATCTGGCTTCTGTGAGCAGCGCCCAGCTGTCTGCAGTGAGATGCTCTGCTCTCATGCTCCATAAGGCTTAGAGGGATAAAACAGAAGCCCACACAGGGAGCACTTTCTGAAGCTCTTTTTAATCAGATAAAAGTAAACAATGGTATAAAACGGTAACAACTCAAGAAATTTCCAAAGTCGTTGTCATGATTTCAACACTTGAGTCTCTTCCATTGCCCCAAAGTACCATTGAATTAAAAAGAAGCAATGCCTGTGGTGTGGCTGCCTTTCCAGCCCACCAGTTCCTCTGTACAGGGCTCTGAAACCAGGGCAGCAACAAATTTGCTTTTTCCTGGAAAAAAATACACACACATGCAGGCTTGCAACTTCTGCCCCCATGGAAAGGTAATGGAGCCCAACAGCACTGGTCTGTCTGTGACTCATGTCCTTAGAAATCTGGCCAGTTTTATCCTGAAACCGTTGTAAAAGCATTCAGACCCTCAAGACTTGCCGGGAAGCATGTACAACATAGCTTTCTCGGGGGCAAAGAAAAAAAAAAGTTATTCCAAAACATTGTAGATAAGACTTTGGAGGGACAACTGAGCACCAAAATAGGCAGCAAATGCCAACTTGGTCCCTCTTGACAGTAGAGGTTACAAGTGATAACTGGTTTAGCAACTTAGATCATGCCTTCATCCATTGGGTTGTAAGGCAATCGAATTCAACACTTTGCTGTAGCACAGACCAGTCGCGAGAGGAGTGGTACTCAGCTCTGATCAAAAGAGCTTCTGTGCTAGAGCCCAGGTTGTTAGATCGTGGAGTATCCGAGCAGTTTTAGAACACAGTCTAAACATATTCTGGAGTGCATCAAAAAAAGCACAAACCAAACCACACGTACTGAACCTGCGCTGGGGCAAGCAGCGTTTTTGGAATGGTACCTTAACTCGTCCACTGTCAGCGAGTCCCCGCCCAAACTCTTCCCCATGCTCGAGTTGATCGTAATGAAAACTTGTTTGTGACAAACAAAAATACTTCTGCAAACAACAAGACAGAGGGGACAAGGAGACTTAAATAGAAAATGGCTTGTTTTCTTTAAAAAAAAAAAGTGAAATTTGTGTTCGCTTTTGTACTAGTTGTCAGCTCTATCCCTTCTGCACTGTGAAGGCTTAGACTCATTTACATTGTGCCCATTTGAATTTCAGGGAGGTTTTCAGGGAAAGGGAGTTTGATTAAAAGATCACTTGGGAACACGGAGCTCAACACATTTAGATATTGAAAGAAAAGTCTGTGTTTGCTGATGGCCTCACCCAGGCCTTACTCCTCTTCTGCCCACTGGCCAGTAGCTATGTGGCCATTAATGCGATTGGCGCCATTGCTTGAAGTGCGGAAGTTTCCTTTTGTGCTGTTTGAAGTTGTGTCTTCCTCTTCAGAGCTGCTCTCCACATCACTGCGATCATCTTTTGATACCTGAAGGTTTCAATCCAACGTTGGGGTGCAAAGGGGAAGAAGAGGGGAAAACATGTATTCACAAGAAAAAGCCCTTAGGTGGTCTCGTCTCCCTGATCAGCCAATACAGAGTTGTCATGTACAGCATATTCTGAGCTATTTCAAG